ATTTCTACATTGGATTGAAAATGGATATTCAATTCATATACAAAATAACCGTGAAACATTTATAAGAATCAGTTTGTTTCAACAAACAATAAGATGCTTTGAATAATTTATCATTCCAGAAAGGAAAACGATCACTGAGTAAAAAATAATAAAAAATTAGCACATGAAAAAACAATGGGAATATAAAAGGGAAAAACCTAATTTTTATTTTTATAATAGTTTTAGAAAATACTATCTAATATAATACAAACCACAAAATATTCCATAAGTCAGAACATGTCCTGGTAGAACTAAACCAATGCACAATAGGCAGCTACTAGTACAAATAATATATCGGAACCCGTTTGATAACCTTTCTCCAACATATTCAATCAAGAGTTTAGCTGGTGGACCTGAAAATTCATACTATTACAAAATGTATTTAAAATTAGTTGCGATAAAATCCATCTAATCCTCGCTCTCATAATGAAAACCGTACGTTACATTACTTTCAGAAAAATACTACAAGATATCAATTCATAGGATGTGTTGAAAGAAATGTTACCAACATTTGCGGACGGGGTGAGGGGATGGTATTCACCCACCAATGATAAAAACAGGACATGGGTTCTTTTCAGAGAAATACCTAATGCCAGCTTGAAATATTTCGTTTCAGTATCAACTATTTGCAATAGGGATGACCGGGTATAGTCTACCCCCAAATGATAAATACTGGACATGATTCTTTTTAGAAAATACTTCCAGGTTGACATTCACATGGCAACTATGTTGGGAAACAACTCACGGACATTTCTTGTTGATTCCGTCCCTTTGCAAAGGCGCTAAGGAATGCAATCTGCTTCCAAATGATACAAGTATCTCCATAATATTCACAGAATATCTTAGAAAACAACAGAGTGATTTGAAATATTGTTGTAAATTATGCCCTAAAAAAATAACGCCGGCCGCTACTGGTATCCATAAACCAATTGTGACGTGGCTAAGAGCACGCCCAGTTTGACCGACGTTTCGCGAATATTCGATGTTTGCTACCGTTCTAGATCACTAGACACAAAAACACACAAACTCCTAAATATCTCACATACACATTGCAAACACTACACACCGCAGAGTCAACAGAAACAGAACAGATAAAAATGGAGTATAAGTACCTGGGGCTGACATTCAACCATACGAGTTTAGATATCAATTTCGGTGAAGTGCATAGCAAGAGGTTGTGGATCACTCGGAATTGAGCGGGGTGGACGGATGAGATTCTAGGAAGTCCCTCTCAGACATAATAAACTTTTGCAAGCGTTTATCCAATCCTAGCATGCGGTTCTGATATACATGTTTTGGTGTGTCCTTGAGCTATCTTAACGATTCGGTTTTTATCTCCTCAATTGTTGCAAAACGCCGTCATTTCAAGGGTTCCTTCAATCTTGGAAACAGGAATAGTCATAGGAGGTCAAATCTGGTAAATACGATGACTGAGGCATGATTACGAACAAGCAATAACCTACCTACTCCTTATTGACCGTACGAGCATGTGGCAAGAACCCCTGTTGAACTACGCCACGGTAATCGAAGAGAACAGTAAGCAAAATCTTGACATTTGTTAGAACTTGTCGTGCTTTTTTGGTCTTGGTTCTCCTGGGCTCTTCAATTGGGACGAATGCGCATTATCATAATGCGCAAAAAAATTCGTCATTTTGAAATACTCAAGCGCGTCATATTAAGATATATATGGTTCATCTTTATGTTTTAGACGTGCTGTCTCATAATCTGACGATTAACTAGAGGGATTCGCTTAATCTGACAAAAACAATATTTTTTTATTTTTTTTTCAATTCATTGAACTTAATAATTGATCAAATTCAGTCGAATGGAGAAATAAAAATTGCAAAATCAATCAAGCAGAAAGCTACAGATAATGAAGTGATTTTACGAGATCAGAAAAAGGTCGAATTGTTATTACATTACCTAAAAATGACTACTTACGTAGGCAAAACTTCAGATTTCCTTAATTCAGGGAGATATGAGATTTTAAGGACTGACCCTACAACTATGTATCAGAAGAGGGATAAAGAAACCCTTAAAACAATAGAATTGATTGTGAATGGAAATGATAAATGTACAGCATTAATCATGAATCCACAACCACCAAAACTGTATTCTATTATTAAATTACACAAAACCAATTTCCCGACTAGACCTGTGGTGTTGTTTGGCACCAACCGTAAAAATCTCATAAATCCTCATAAAATTGATTCAAACCTATACCAATTTCAAGCCGAGATTCAGTATAAATAATTCTTATCAATTAGTAAATAATGTTTAAAACGTAGTTCTTCCTGTTAATGAAAAACTAATATCGTTTGATGTCCAAAATTTATTTCCCAGTATTCCGCCAATTGAAACAATTGGACTGGTTGAGCGACAAAAACCACGTGAATCTACTAATAAAACAGGAAATTTTAGATACACTTACTATTCGTCTATCTTAAAATTATTTCCAGTTTGATGAAAAATTTTGTTCATGCCGTAAAGGACTAATAATGGGGAACCTTTTGAGTCCTTTGCTGGCTGAAATTTTCATAGATAACATAGAATATGAAATCCATAATAATCCGTTAACTAACAGTTTCTTGTACTGGTACAGATACGTATATGATATCTTAGTCTGTTTTACTGGTGAAGATAGGCAATTAGGCAAGTGAAAGGAAGGTGAATAATTCAATAAATTACCTTAACCTAACCATTACGAAAAATAATAATAAACTTGAATTTGCAATTTTTCATAAACCATCTTACACGGACAATGGACATTATCATACATAATTCCTCCACACAATCTTACCAGCATAAAGTTGCCCCATTCAATAGTATGCTTCACAGGCTATTGAATATTACACTGTCTAAAAATAATTTCCAGATGGAGCTGAATTTGATCAAACAAATGGCGGTCAACAACGGTTATAAAGTAGATATTAGGGACTCCATTTTTTCCAAAAAACTACAGAAGCAAGTCATGATCTACCCAAATTCAAGATGCGATAACTTCAGTTATAGGACAAATTCATATTTAGGTACACCCACCAATAATATTGCCAGCTTTTTGAAGAAAGAATGACTTTGAAACTCAATCTCCTAGAATGTTTAGAAATCAATGGATTCAAGAATTCGGATAATTTATAATCAATTAGAATGGAATAACTCTCCGTTACTAAATAGTTTTTCAAATGTGGAAACTGGGACATTAGCTCGATTAATTCAATTTATTACAAACTCCGGTAAAATGCAGGTACTTGAAATATAGGTACTTCAAATTGTAAAATTAAGTATAATAAGCATTGAATAAGTAGAATATAGTTAGTAAAGACACGCCCGAAGAAGTCATTGTATGGCGAAACACGTGTTGCGTTTTTGTGAAACTTTTTAGTGAAAATCTCAATGTTTTTTGAATACGTTCGGAACGAGTGTACCAACATAAAGAAAATAAAAAACCGGTAACTGATTGTACGTAACCCTCGAAATTTGAACATTCATCTTATTTTTTTAACAGCCCACGTACTTATAGAGTTTTATAAATAGTGGATCTGGGTTCGGTTCATAAGTAGAGAGAGATTTACTGGTCCACAATATGAAGACACAGAAACTATAGGAATCAAAGCTTACAGATAATGTATGAAAATAATATATACCTATAAATATAAATCAACAATTGTAAAGAACAATTGAAAGTAATCTATCAGATTATATGGTGTGATATTCAATACGATATATTCAGTTTTCTTTTTGAAAATGTATGCCAAGTTCATCATTTTCTATTCATTTCACAGTCCCATTTAAATTAGGTAATTTTTGATAAATGTTCAGATGCGTACATTTATTACGCATTTATCACGAATAATAATCAGCAACATCAGTATTTCTGAGGAAAATATGAAAGTGACAATGCGAATGTGCTAATGTGACAACAGGTGATTAAACTAAATCGACTTGATCATTTAACAGGTGGCACCCGCAAAAATGAGGTGAACAAGTTGAAGAAATCTGAAGTTTATAAGCTTAAGTGTCCGGAGTGTAATAGTGTTTATGTGGGACAATGTGGTCGAAATTTCCAAAAACGGTATGCTGAACATGAAAGGTCCTTCCTACTAGGTAAAAATGACGTTTTCAAACCATTCCTTGGCATGCAACCACATATTCCCGAATCTAAACGATACGGAAATTTTGCACTGCGCAAGGAAGGGTTACAAACTCAATTATTTAGAATCCTTGAAAATTCACAAGCATAAACATTAAGGGTGCAACCTGTTGAATGATCAAATCGCCGGTCTTTAAATTGGCAGATCCGCAGTGTGAACTGTAAATTCAGGTACTCAATCAAGGCAAGTACCTCTATTAGTACCTACAAGGGTGGTATATAAGGGGTAATGTAATCAACCATTGTTATTTCAATGTATAAATTTGAAAATGTCCTTATAGGACGAAACTGCAGTAACGTTAGTTACAAATAAAAGTGAATAAAAGAGAAATGAAACTTTCTGTGTTTTTTTACCACTTTTATTTGTAACTAACTTTAATGCAGTTTCGTCCCATACGGACATTTTCAAACTTATACAATAAACTTGTACAATAAAAGTTTATTGTAGGTATGAGTTTGAAAATATCCGTATAGGACGAAACTGCAGTAACGTTAGTTACAAATAAAAGTGGTAAAAACATAGAAAGTTTCAATTCTCATTTCTTCATTACTTCAATTCTTTTTGCAATTACTTTCACTTTTTTGAATTTTGATAACCGGTTGCAGGGTTTGAATTTTGGTCCAGGAATTTCGAAACTCCACTATGTTAGATTAAGTAAAATAAACGTTCTTCGACGAGAGAAATGAATCAGTAGCATATTTCACAATAGTATTGATTTCAAGGGCATAAAATAATAGCATACCATTTCAACCCCGTTATATTCATTTTAAACATGAAAACATCATTCGAGCAAATAAATCAATCTATATTCAAAGTCATTTCTAACATTTTGAAATGTTTCTGGGGTAACAAGTTTCGGTAATTCTGTCTCTAAGTTCCCATATTGTCTCAGGTTGCGTTACATGAACTTTCGATTTGTTATATCCCCAAAAAAAAGAATCGAGAGGAGTCAACTCTGGTTAACGAAGTAGGCCATTCTAACAGTCAGCGCCTCCTAATCCACCTGCCTATGTATTTCTGATTCATCCAACCTCTCATAAGCCTGAAAAATATGGGAGCGCACCATCTTGTTGAAAAACAACTGGATTTTCGAATTCATCTTGATTGTTGGCCACAATTTTTTGAATTCGTGACAAATGAGATTTCGAAAAATTTACAGATATAAGTCACTAGTCAGAATTTCCTCTTGATATATGGGACCAAAAATATGATTTCCCAATTTTCCTACCCAGACATTTATTTCTTCAGAAGTTTGAGTGTGACCTTTCCGAAAAATATATGGGTTTATGTCTGACATTTTTGTTTAAGAAAAAAGTGAAGTCTTCTCTGAAACATGCTTTTCAAAAAGTTTCGATTTGCAATCAAATGTTCGGATATTAACTCACAAAACTGCAATCTTCTGTTAGAGTCATCTTCATTCATTTCAGTTCATAGGGGTGAAACTTACTACCGATGTATTTCTTGACGGTGGTTGTTTGAGATATTCTCACGAGCAACTGTTGTCGTTGACTGCAGAGAGTTATTCACTACAGGCACAACGATTTCTATCTGAATGAAATGAAATGAAATGTGGCAAACTTTCAGTATTGATAGTGACAGCTGTCACTATCAATTCACTTTTTAATCAAATACTCCCGTTCAATTTTATTCTAAATACGATTTATTTCCGTGAACAATTTCTGTCTCTCATACATTACAAACTTTGTGTACCTGTGTCAATCCTCTTTTACTTGGAAAGTTACGAATAATAATTTTTCCTAGTCTCCAATTCATAGACCAATAACTCCACAACCGATTACCCAAATTCGAAACAGTGAAAAGTACTGAAAATAATTCTTTTTCATCAAAAAAATTGTGAGACTTTGATATCTTGCCCAGTTCAAAAATTAAGAAAGTGTATGATGTACTTTTTTTAAATGTTTCGACACAGTTTGTTAATTTGATCCTTTTCTTTTTGAAAGTTTCTCATTGTTTATATGATCAAGGAGAAGCTGGATGTCCAAAAGCGTTTTTATAGATAATAACGTATTCTGAGTAATAGAAGATACAAATAATTCACAATTTTCTACTCACTGGTTATGTGTCTAATTGAACTGTACAGCACTAGTGTCCATAATCCTTTTCCAACAGAATATACGCCTCCTTCAACATTTTCGGCAAATATAATACCATAACAAAGGAATGAAGACGATATCAAAAACTAAAAAAAAAAGTTAAAAACAGAAATGACTAAAAATAATGTCACTGAAGAATTGTGATTTTCGATAACACCAGAATATTGATTTACCGAACGATGGAAAATGTTATCATCGATCAAATATATGGTTAACATAAAATTATCAGTTTATGAACAAATCGTCGTAGAGATGGTCATACCTAACCTGGATTTTAAAATTATTTCAACTTCCCACACAGCAGCTGTTATAGAAATTCGTATTCCAGCGGGGGGGACACAACGTTTCATATTGATCCTTTTAGTATTCATTATTATCATTTATGAAACGGCAGAATCTATAAGATATTATTTTTCTACGGTAATAATAACCGATATGTACTTGGTCCTTAACCGATGTAAAAATACGTTAGCAGTGTATTTGAACAAATATTCTTCAAAAATGCTAGACTACTGTGTTATTTTTACACATTCTCCAGCCTCAAATAACATTTATTATAAAAAATCCATTGAGAACCAGTGCATATCAGAAATGAGTGAAAACATAAGACCAATTCAATCAATTGTGAAGTAATATTAGGAAAAACACCTAAAGATTTCAGAATGAAATATACAGAATGACATTAGTAAAAAAATTCCAGGAGAGGGGGTTCTCTAGAAAGTTATTATACAAATACAATCATCTTATCAAACTTTACTTTTTGTACTTAGTACTATTTTGTTCATTTCCTCTCAAAGTGAAACAAATCGACTTCAAATTTTACAAAATCGGGAAATGAGAATGTTTTAGAGATATGATGGGTATGCAAATATTTTTTTAATGTTGCCGAGATTAAACTTGATAAATAATAATGATTTTTTGACATATCTGACATTTGAAAACTAGAGCCGAAACAAGACAGCGCTGTTTCGACCTGCCAGTGACCCGTAATGTTTCGTCTAATCAGTGGTGCTAAGCTGAACCACAAATGTATTACTGGACTCAACTGTCCTTGAAGGACAAGCCTAAGTGAGTAAGGACGACGACATCTGCCCTTACGAAGACGTCATTTAGAGGGATTGGCAAAGAACTGAATCTTCGAATATCAAAGATAAACGAGGTTCCTCAAGGCAGTCGGTTGCAAAGCCAAGCTTTGACATCGACGACCGACGAGATTCGTCCTTTGTCGTTCACTGCAGCTTTCTCTACAAAGGCAGTTGGGTCCAGCAATGCATTTGTGGTTCGGCCTATCACCAAAGACAAGACCTATGACGGGTAGAAATAGCATAACTTGGTATTGCATCATATATGCCTTGCATTTGAGCTCGGGTTATCAACTATTTGCTTTGCAGTGAAAGACAGAAGATCTCTACCATTTCGATACCATATTTAAAAAATTCAAAAAAAAAAACAGTAATACACATATTTATAATACAAAAGGACATTTTTTTCAGGAAAATAATAGAATATACCTGATGAATTACCTAAAGTAGTCAGATCAAAAGTAATAAACTCACTTAAATTCGTGATAATAACATCGAATATGTACAGTTCAAGTAAACGATATAGTGCAACCTACCTTCCAATAGTNTGAAAAAAGAATTTCAGTCAAATCTGATGTTGCTGGTAATATTTTCTTCTCTCGAAACCAAACTTGAGATGTAAATTCTTATATACGTTGAAACATAATCTCTGTGTTTCAATATTCAAATGCATTCGAATCTTATTCACTTTTATCTCTTTTTCGCATTGTTCACCATCGCTATTGGAATCACTACACAGGAAAAAGTCTGCGTTTTTATCATATTCGTTATTACTATAAGTTGTCCGAGGACGCCACAACACTCAAATCGCGGTCAGTTCCTGAACTGAACATTGATAACACTACGGTTCGCATTCTATTCGTCACCGTAACATGACTTCAAATTTAATTTTATGACTCTTCAGTCAATCATAACACTCGGTTAGTAAAAATCATCCAATACGAACCGCCAACACTTTAAATATGCACAATACCAGTCACTTCGACTATACCCTAATTTGAATCCATTCTAATTATTCTACAGGTTTTTATTTATTTAAATAATCTCTCCCTAATTTTTATTCAGCATATCAATCAATTCTAGTATTATTGCTCAGGTATTTTTTTTCAATGTTATTTTATCTTATCTCAACACTTTGTGCTCTTTCCCAATGTTGAAATAGCTCAGAGAACTGAATAAAGTTATTCGATTCAATTCAACGTTGGTGATAGCAATAGTTCGTAACAATATGAATTTTATTAAATGGAAAATGTGGTCTGATTTCATTTTATGAAATATCACAAATAATTGTTGTATTCGATTCTTCACTTTCAGGCAAGTATTCCATTTAGTGACTATTAGGGAACACATGCATGTTTTTCAAGTTTTTGCAAATGATTGATTTCGTATTCAGATATCTCAAATAGTGAAAGAAATTCTACAATGTCTCCGTTCGAATAATCAAAATTGAAAATATCCTAAAATCTTAACTTGATTTTACCTTGAATTCAATTGACTTACTCCAAAGGCTAGTGCCACTCGTGATTGTCATGAACATTCGGGACTACAAATATAATTAATCATCAAGAATAATACGAACGACTTTAGTAATGATGAATCATTGTTAATAATAAAAAATACTCCAAATTGTAACCTCTTCGTCAGCAGTAGTAATAGAAACAATCCTTAGAAAGCACCGGATAGTTAAATTTTGACAACTTGAAAGCCCTTTCTATGAAAAGTTGGAAATAAGAAAAGTTACGATCAATTTGTCCACTAGACACCGCCAGCGACACACTTCGTGGCGGGTTATAAATTCGGCATTTTCACTTACGTATTATAAATAAATTGAAGTGTTATTTGTAGTTCCAAGCAGCTTTCACAGCTTTACTGGAGATAATGTACTTGTTGAAATCCAAATGTTTTTAAACAGAAACATAAGCGATATCAATGACAAATTATTCACACTCATGAGTGATTATTTTCATATTGATGATCACAACTGGAAAAAGTAATTTTTAAGTCTATGAATTCATTGATGATTCTCATCATCTAATTCAACAAATTCAATTATTTAATCAACTTCAACTCTCTCAACTTCATAACTGAAAACACTTTTCTTCAATAGATGCAATAGAATTATAATCTATTCCACTCATTTATTTTCGCTGGTAACTGATCTCCGAACTGTAAACATTCTTCAGGCTGAATAACTTTTTTCGAGTTCAATTGCCCTAACACCAAACTGATATTTTTGCACTCGACGCGCGTTTCGCCAACAAAGTTAGCATCCTCAGGAGAAGAAAATTGATACCTAGTCTAGTCTGGTTAGTCCTTATATACTAAAATTTGTTACCTGAGTTTGTATACCTGAAGTCCAATATAGAATTTCTCGGTAATTAACTACCTGCAAGTTCTTAGTAATTATTCTCTTCCTAACAGAGTCGAGTGCAAAAATATCAGTTTGGTGTTAGGGCAATTGATCTCAAAAAAAGTTATTCAACTTTCACACCAAAGGTTCCAATCTCATCGTTATTCTTCAGGCTGTTCTCTTCTTCGTTGCATCATTCATGACGGATTCATGATTTCTCGGAACGAGCCTCGACGTTCCATTGCGCTTGATACATAAGATAAAGAATCTAATTGGAGGGGGAGGGAATTCGTAAATAAAGTAACGTGATAAACTCTCTGCGACATGAACCCTGTATGCATATTTATTTAAAAAAAAACAAAATAAAAGTAGAAGAAACCTCTCAATTGAAGTATTCAAAATTACTTGTATATAGTATTGAATTTGTTTGTTTGCTAAAGATGTTTTGAATGAAAATCAAAGATCCTATATTCTGACAGATTTGTGTCACGTTTTGACTTCACCCTTTGAGTTGAGAATTCCTCAAACATCAATCAAATACATTCATTCGAACCTGAGAATTGTGAAAATAATGTAAATCATGAAAAATGGAAGAATATTCAAAATATAACTCACCTCGATGAAACCTATTCCAATTTTGGCAAAAAATATTTCCTTATTTTGTTCATTAGTATGAGTATCTTTATTATTATTGGAAAATGTTGATGATACCATAGACAAAGTAATACTTCTATGCATTTCTTCTCACGATCACAAGTTTGATCATCATTTCACTTTTTTCCTGCGTAGAATGCGTCACTATATTTCAATGATTTTCGAGTAGTTCATTATCAACACAGGGAATGGGATCATCATAGAAAAAAGTTTATAACTCGTTCATGATTTAGTCTTATCTTATCGTGAGCTTCAACAGGTGTGACCCCGCCGTTATAATAATGTTCATCCCATTCGTCAACGAGATATTCATGTATCGATACTTTTTATAATCCACTATAGCGATCTTACTCGGCTTCGCATTGGTAGCAGGACATATATACAATACAATACAATTTATTCACCAAATATACAAGTAGAATTTGAATACAACTAATTGCTAACAGTAAAAAATGATGATAAATAAATACGAAGCATCCAAAAGGTTTCCCTTGTGCATGGGCGCAAGTATTTTAAGTTCTTGAGTATTTTATAGAATTATAGTTTATAGAATATACAATATAAACATAGATTTGAATGGGTTACTTATTTTCGAATTGATTACTTCCTTCCTTTCTTTGGAAGATTCTCTCATCCATTTTTTTTGTATCAGATGGAGTAGTAGAAAGCCAAAAACTTTCTTTCCCATAAACATAGATATTATAAGAAGATAGATATATGTGTAGATAACAAAAAAATACATAACATAGATATTACAAACAAAAAAGCATATAAATATAATTATGTTCGTGTACAGTATAGATACAAGTTGTCATATAAACAAGTAGCCAAAGCATAATGTATCTCACTTCAAGTTTTTCCTATCAATTGATCGGTGTGATAGCTATGAGGCCAATTCTTTAGTTTTTTTTTTAGCAAGCCGAATGATCTTATTCTGCGGAGATCATCTGGTTTATCAGCATATAAGACTGGACAGAGGTAAGTACACGAACTTTGACATTTTCGTGTATTAACTCTTGGAATGGTTTTGGCTTTGAAGCGTGTTGCATGTTTGTGCTGTATAGGCTCGTATTTGTGCTTGTTTTATGGTGGTGGAGAACTAGTGATTGGAAGTAAAGTTGACGGACATTCAGAGCTTTTGCTTCTGTGAAGAATTTTTCCGTTGGGTATCTATAGTTTTTACGGAGTATGATCTTTAAGATCCATTTTTGTGATGTATCTAGTGTTTTCAAGTAGGTGTCTGCGATACCACCCCAAACCGTATGTTATATGTATCTGAATCAGTGTGTCATATATAATTGACATATATTTCAAGTCAAATAGTTCTCTGTAGACTTTCAACCTGTTGGCCATGCTCTTTAATATTTTTGAAACATAGTCTGCGTGATAGTTCTATCTGAGGTAACAGTCTATCAAAATTCCCAAATATTCAATGTGGGAAACTGAAGAGAACTTTATGAGGCCGCTGTTGAATTCAAGTTGCCTATATGTTGGGAGATTATCGCTGTAGCATGTGAAAGAAAAAAAATGTTTTTTGAAAATTGATGGTGAGTAGTCGAGTTTGAAAGAAGTTTATCACATTTGTGAAGTCTTTTTCAGCTTTGGCTTTCGGAGATTGCCAGGATGAGTCTTCATAGAAGATCGCAGTATCATCAGCAAATGCCATTGAACATAAATATTGGCCTACATTTTTTTGATAATCGACTGTATTGCCAAACATGCGCCAAACTAACTGACTGTCATAAGGAAATAAGTATACCTGAGGCACCAGTCAATCTAATAATAACACTGATGATCTTCAAACAAGACTCAACCTCTGACGGAAGCACCAAACTCTTTCGAAGGTTCGAAATAGATGAATACTTCAATTTAGCAGACCACTAATATAATATTCATGCAGTCATTGTTCACTGTGGATCTGTCGTTGAATTTGGTCATTATCACGCCTTTGTAATTGAGCCCGCGTATATTTTAGTCTGTCTTAAGGGTCAGTAAACGTAAAATCTACACAATTTTCATAGCATATAATATTTTTAAACTGATTATTAAATAATTTTGATTTCATTCTTATGACAAATAATGCACTAAAACACTTTCTTGAAGAATACATTTCATAAAGACTGACAAAATTGTATTTCAAAATATCAGCTGATAGCGAGAAGCGCACAAATGTTTTCCTTATTTGTTATTACCAGGAACATCAATAAATTAATTTATTCATTTATTTTCTGATGATGGTAGAATTTATTTTGAAACATTTATTATTGATATTCATAATTCAAAATCTTCAGTAATACATTGTCATATTAGTTGATTCTTGAGTTTACTAGTATATTAAAGCCACATTGAAATTTTTTCATGTATATTTCAATTACATTTTTTTATAATTGGCATACAAAAGTTTTCATAAATGCAAGAAAGAATATCAGAAAAACACAAAATATGTCATTATATTTATTTGTTCATTATTTTTTACGTTACGTAAGGAATGACCTACAAAATGTTTGTTTTGGAAAAAAGAATATTGCTTTTCTTCATTCTCAATAGAGTTTTCAGAAATGCGAGAGGAAATGCCGGAAACGTGGAAATATGATTTTCAATATAGATTTATAGAAATATTGCAACCCCATAATCTGTTTTATTAATAAGAATGAAACATTCTTTATCATTCAATTAATAGTCACAACCTCATGTTTGAAATAAATTTAATGCCGCGACTTCATCGTCGGTACCGTTTTTATCCGTCAGAGCGTTTCTGTTTTCACATCGGTGTTTGTTTCATAGTATGTAGCGTTGTACGTATAATCCAATTTCAAGATCACCACAAATTGTGAAACAATAATCATCGGAAGAGGTCTGAAAAGATATAATGCATAATATTTAAAAAATAGGACACAAGTAAAAAATACAAACATGAGTGACACTTTGAAGTGAGTTTTTCATTAAACAGTTCACAAAACAGCAACACCTGTTTCACCATACAATAGCCTCTTCAGGCATATTCAATACTAACTAATCATTGACCTATTCTGTTGAATCTACTAATAATATCCCTCGTTTTTCGAAAAAGTATTATCTGGACCTACCTGACGTATCTCGATAATAAATATTAAACTTCAGAGTTGGATATAGTCTGTTCTTTCTCCTCTGTTTTCTGTATGTTGAGTCTCAACCTATTATATTTATTTATTCTTCACATTTCTCTTTCCCTATTGAAATTGAATGTATCATCATCAATATTTTTTCCCAGATTGCGCTGGTCGGGGCCTATTTGACTTTTAGTTTTTGAATGTATTTTATAGTTCCCTTCGAACGTATTGGTATCTGCAGAATAGTCCAAACCAAGGCCATGCCCGGTGGGGGGTCCGGACCCCCCTCGGCACAGCCCTGGGTCTGAGCAAAACCAACACTTGGATATCAGGAACGTTCTTGACTCAGGGAGAAAAAAGCAAGTAGACTAAAATATAGAAAAATTATTTTCAATTGTGGAAAATATAAAGTGTTGTGGGCGACAAGAACTGGCTTATTTGAGAGGAACAAACGATTCTGGCGCTGTTTCTCTGACTGATGAGGAGCCAGTCACAAATGACGGCAATTTCAGAGATATTTCAAGAATAAAGATGAAATGTGGTGGTACAAAACTGCTCAAACACAGCGAAAACATTGCTCTGAACGCGACGTATATGAGCGCTAGGGTCCAAAATGATCTGATATCAATTTGAGGGGAAATAGGTGAAGGTGTTCTCCGTTTTAGAAGACGAACTGCTGATATCTCAGGACACGGACAACTTTCACTATGTGTTAGATACACAAAAAAGATTTTTTTGGATTTATAAAGGTCGATAATACAACTGCACAACCATTAGCTGACATGATCATAGCGTCCCTGCAAAACTTTGACATTGACTGCAATAATATGGTGGGACAGGGGTACGATGGTGCATCTGTGATGAATGGTGCTTTTAATGGTGTTCGAGCAATAATTCAGAAATCGTATCCCCCAGCTCTGTTTGTCCATTGCAGCTGTCATTCTTTAAACTTAGCCTTTTATCATTCATATAGTGAAGCGCACGAACTTCCTTCAGGCACGCATTAGGGCCAACTTTCCTGATGCAACATGGCAGAAATTAACACCAATCTGTGAAAGCGATGGGTGGAAAATCACAACGGCTTGTTCAAATTTAAACTTATTTTCAAATGTATCATTGAGACTTTAGAACAATTCAGCACATACCCGGATATGGAGACCTCCACTAAAATTTCTTTCTTTTCCGAGATCTGCTGTTGCCAGCGAATTCGTGGTATCACTCTGTTATTTGGCGAAGGTATTTGCAGCAACATTAACAGTATGCGAAGTCCTGCAGTCACCTCTTTGTGACTTACTAACAGCTGTCGACCATTTCGAGAACGGAATATCTTACTTTCAAGATATTCGATCCAATATTGAAAAATAATTTTCAAATTCATTTACAGAAGCAAAGGATGTCAATGAAGAGATCAAGCTTCCACGGTTGACAACAGTACAAAAGCATCGCGCTAATCCAACTGTTAATAACTGTTGCAATGCCCTAGTAGAAGACTTAACTACCCAGCTCAAAGTAAGATTTACCGACCACAAGAAAATGATTGCTGCTATGTACACTCCTATACCAACAGTATAAGTATATATAACAGGTAAAGACCCTTGAATTATTCACAATAGTTACAACTTTGGATTCACGTAGTTAGTACTAGTTTGAAAGTTGTCATTATTTGTAAAAAGCAATTGTAGATGTTTACTAACCCAATAAGGATTCATAGAATGGGAAAACTTAAATTCCGTATAATAATATAAGTTCAGAAATAAGTGTAGTACTTAGAATTAAAAAGATGATTTATAATGCTAAAAAAGGGTTTTTCTAATAATTAGTATATGCAAGGCTCTGNCATGATGTCTGATGAATCTTTGACAGTCTTCAAATATACTGTCAGTCATGTTCCACATGCTTTGGCGAGGCGGTTAATTGGAAATTTGAAAAGGAAGAAAAAAGCTCTGTTACGCCAGCAACGCAAAGTACGGAAATCGCATTTAGAAAATGCCAAAATTAGGTACTTTTTAGGTGATTTTTAGGTACCGAAGTCAAAAATTAGGTGCTCTGTAACTTACATCGCAACTCAAAACTCGAAGTTGCGTTGCCAGCATCACCTAATGCTAGATATTCATAGTAAAACTAGATTATTTAATGCCTATGGGGC